GTTCCAGAACCACCAAGCTACTTTGTGAGCCCATTCTAGAGCATGCCACATATATCGTACAACTGCCCATAGGAGAACCAGCTTTATCTCTACTCTATTCCTAGTATCTCAAGCGTTTGGCCTTGAATTTGTTTTTGGTTATTGCGAAGCATACTTTGAGGGGAAACTCCACTCTCTTGATATGAGGGAAAACTTTGGAATAAATTTAGTTTCTCCTTGAAAAAAAAAAATCATGTTAGAACAGTAGCCTCGATTACATTTCCATGCAATTCTTTTACATATAATCTGTACCAAATTGTTTGTCAGTCAAACGATAAATAAAATTTTTCGAAAACATTAATTCCAGGCTCACTTCCTGGCAAAAAGTGTCTCAAAGCTACTACTCCAAACCTGGTTCTCCCATGGACAGTTGTACGATATATGATTGTATGTCAATCAAATCTTATTGAAAGGAAAACTGTTCCCAATATCAATTCTCAAATCAATTTCTTGTAATTTTAAAAATTAAAAAATAAAAAAATTTTATAGTAGATCGGCTTTGGGTCCGCTTTCGGGAAAATCCTTTCTTATCGGGCGCGTACATCATACGCAGAACCCACCACCGAGTTTTGGTTGTGGCTTAAACCGTCAGTTATTCAAAACAAATCCATTCTATACTCGTATATATAGACAAACGTATATTAAAATATTACACCAATAATTCAAGAAATATTTTCTAAAATTAAGCCTTCTTTGTTGTAGAAATTAATATTTCTTTATTTTTTAAAAAGATAATAATTTCGGACCACAACCTCATTTCATTTCCGCGTGTTATCTATGCGTACAAAATTTTTTATCCTGAATCAGTGACAGAACCGCTTATCGTATAGACCACGGTAGTTGTGTTCTGAGTCTAACGTAGGCGGTCGGTAAGAAATGCTTTTAGCCAGTGATTTCTTAAATGATTTCTTCTTGACTTGAATGTTAATATGTGTGAATTAATCTTGCCCGAAAAATGTACTTGGGGCTGTCGTATTTTTATTTATAAAGCAAATACGATAAAAACGAATAGAAAATCTTATTGGAACCACTGAAGGCAGACGAAGTCGAGATCAAAATCTTGTGAACTAATATATGACGCTACTACTTCTCATCCTTCACTTTACTGTTTGGGGCCAAGCACAGCCAGGTCCTTCTCTACCTGGTCTTTCCAACGGAGTAGAGGTATTCCCCTTTCTCAGCTTCCACCACCACGGGTACTACATCAAAGACTTTCAAAGCTGGAGTATTTTTATCCATCTCGATTCGCTGAACTATGTTAATGTCATCGTATAGCACGTGCAGCTCATCGTTCCAACACGTTCCGATTCAGATGTTACCATCGTACATGCTTCCGTTCCGTTTAGCATAAGTAGAATGGGAATGATGAGCGAAATGTAGACTATGGTCTTTGATCGACAAGAAAAGACTTTGCTTTTCACTATAGGTAGCATCTGTTGGCAAGAATTATACTGTGTTGAATTTTAAGGCTAACATTGTTGTTGGTATTAACACTGGTTCAATGGCAGACGAAATTATTACCAGTTTCAAAGTTATGACTCTCGATAGTGGCGTGGGATCCGAGTCGTGAATGGAATGACTGTTTATTTGCCCTCCTTCACTTTCAGACCCATCTTCTTCGCTTCCTTATCCATCTGGAGAAAGCACAACTCATGGCGTTAATGTACTTTCTAAGATTGTACTTTCTCTATGCAGCTCTGCAGCTTATCCAGCAATAAATTAATAAAGTCACACGGTAAAGAGTCAACTTGTCTGAAACCTCGTTTAGTATCGAACGGCTCGGAGAGCTCCTTCCCAATCTTGACGGAGCTTTTAGTGCCGCTTAAGGTCAGTTTACACAGCTGCATAAGTTTTGAAGGGATGCTAAATTCAGAAGCAACGGCCTAGAAGCTTTTTGTGCTGTCGAAAGCGGCCTTAAAATCGACGAAAAGGTAGTGTGTCTCGATCCGCTTTTCACGGGTATTTAGCAAAACTTGGGACATGGTGAATACCTGGTTTACCATATCTAGGGCCCCACTGATAAGGTCCAATCAGTTTGCTGAGGGTCGGTTTTAGCCTTTCACACAATATGATCGATAGGACCTTAAATTCGATATGAAGGAGTCGCGATCATATTTTGCATAGAAGCTAATTATTAGGTCTTCTTCGCCGCTTTTTCGTATTTCATTTCGATTATTGACTTTTTCATACACGTAATAATCGCTAATAAATGATATTTGTTTCTTCTCAATAACAAATAACGCTCTCCATTAGAACTATTATTGTTTGAAATGTAAATTAATACTTATACGTTTATTAATATGTAAGTATAGATGTACGTACAATTGTGAATATTAATGCGCATAAATCATACTCACATTCATATGGTAAAGTATTAGCAAATAGAAAATTTCTTTATTTAATTTCATACTTGCGCCGACCCCATAGTAACACCCATTTAACGGTTTAGCGACTTGGAACAACAAAAGAAGACTTTGTGTGGAATTTTATATTGTAAATAAATACATGCAAACTAAATGCAAATAAATATTTACATGCACACTTACGAATGTACATATGTATGTATAACTGTATATATTACATAAACCCTGCAAACAATTTTGGACCATACAGTCCTTTGGAGTAGTCCAATAAGTACACCACTGTAGTGTACTATTGGATCAACTGACGTCTCGCTACCAGCTAGTTGTTAGTCGATGATTGCTCGTATTTTAACGATTGTAAGTTACGCCCTTTGCCATAATCACCGAGAGATTGACGAAAATAACTATGAAATAGATCGAGCGTATGTAGGTCAGCTTCGTTTTTTTTTTTTAATATTTTGTTGCTAATGACCAGAATGGTGCTTTTGGCTTACTTCGAGACATTTATATTGACATTTGCATAAGACTTTGATCTGCGAACAAATGATCCATAAGTTGATTGGTCAATCTATGTATATAAATCTTAGGTTCTCTTGTCAATATTCGCATATCTCGAAAAGTTACCGACCGACAGAAATTTTTACATGACAATACTGCCTGTAAATCCTCGATGAATGCTGATGGTAAAGTGCTCAACGTTGTGGCAAGATGTACAAAGCCTAAAATTAACTACCAATATGCATGTAAAGCTGAAACTTTATCCATCGGTTGTTATATTTTCATGTCAGTTACTGGAAATGGAGAACTGTTAAGTGCTAATTTATCGGACTTATGGACTGATTACATTACCCGGTAACTTCTGATTCACGGAGTATTTCAAAATATCCGAATTAATTGTCACTGATCTATTCTCGCTGCAACGAACTAGTTTTTCTACCAACCATGTCTATTTCAGCCACACTATTCAGTCCAACATTGAAAGCGCATGCGTGACTTATGAGTCAAGGAAGGGCCCATTGTGCAAGCAAATGAGGCAATCAATTATCCAACAGAATTTTGGAATTCTTCGGGCTTAGTGGAGGCGCCATCGCACATAATAAATTTGAAAATCGATGTGGCCATTATATTGCAAAGTCACATTACTCAGCCGAAACTTTACAATTTCGCACGAACATCAAAATTTACGGAGAAACGTAATAGATGCAGTAATAGAGACCGGACGTCCTCATTCTTCGAGTCCCTATCATACTGTCTGAGACTAAATTTCAATTCAGTTCCACGTTCAACTAGTGTTTGCCATCACTATCAGCGAAGCTCGGGGTCTAAGACAAATGGCATCTACTGAAAACGACGCGAAATGACAGTACCTTTGGAATGAATATAGCCCCAGATGAACACGATGCGAAATAATACTAGTAGAGCCCTCTCTTAGAAAACCGCATGAATTAATGCATACACCCAATAAAAAAATATATTCGAATATTCCTGTAAACTCCATAAGTAACCCGCTGTAGATTCACCATGGAGTAATTTTTGGATTAGTTGCAAATAATAATCTCATGTATGTACTTCATGGATCAATCACATGCTACATAGAGGTTAAGTTTATTGTCATCGCAATATTAATGGGCGACAACGGTGGATGAGTTGTTAGCTTTGCGTACTGCCATTCGGAAGGCTTGGGTTCAAATCCTGGTGTCGTATATGCATCCAAAAAGTTTTATAAAAAATTTATTTGAATAAAAAATTAAATTAAATTTTCTAATTGCGGTCGCGCCTCAACAGGGAATGTCAACCCAACCAAGTGCATTTCTGATATGAAATTAAGGCTTCTCATAAAAACCCGTCAGCCGTTCGGAGGCGGCTTAGTATAAACTGTAGATCTCTTCATCTGCTGGAAAAACATCAAAACGCGAAACCACAAATTGGAGCAGGAGCTCGGCCGAGAATCGCTTCAGCAGTTACAAAGCTTCTATTATATTATATTTTTTATATGGATTGTAATTAGGTTTGGATTACTCTATTGGAGTATATACTTCACGCGTGCATGGCGTAGTAGCGTTGTTTGCAGGCAGCTAACAAATAAGCGCATATTAATCGATATTGGATATATTCGCAGGGCAGATGGTGAGGTTGCGCTTATGTAAATGTATTTATTTATGCATTTACATATGTAAATGTGCACACTTTTGAACATCCTGCATTTTAGCCTTACGTACATACATGCATATATTATGTGCATGTATGGTATCCACACACATATGAGTGCGTGTATACCATTGGGGGAAGCTCTTAGAATTGTTTTGATTTAAAATTAATATTAACCGAAATTATTAACACAAAAGTGCTAATAAATATTTGAACGAAACATTTGCAAAGACGCGCATTGCGCACGCGTTCCCGCACATTTCCCGCCAATTCGGCTGGGCGCCGAAGTCTTATCCAAACTGACGCGACGTGACGTGTAAGCAGCAGCAGCAGCAGCAGCAACAGCAGCAATCACAAGTTATGTGTATCAATGGCGACGAAGGCAGAAACTTTCAAAACTTTGCACAAAAAAACAAAATTTCGCCATTTTACACTTTTGCATATTTTCAGTTGCGACATGAAGCTGCGCGAATAAAGACGATAAAATCGATAAGACGACAACGCGAGTACAACTTGTGTTTCAGTGTATGTAAATGCAAAAACGATTAATGGAATTCAGTGATAAAACAATACAAAGTGACTAAAGAACTTAAATAAAACTCACTAGCACACACACACACACACACACACCCATACAGCAATACAGCAGCAAGGCAAACAAATATTGTTAAACTGTGAGCATCATCATAATAAATTTCTTAAATAAGGAGAAAAGTCAATAAAAAGTTATCAACGACATGTCCGAGCTGCAAGTAATCACAACAAATTACACAGCCACTTCCAAAGACAAACTGGAGGTGTTCGAGCTGCCACAAAATTACTCGATACTCATTAATAAATTGGAGCGTTTGGCATTGGGCCTAGACTCGGCGTTCGGTAATCTCTCGTTGGAACGTAAAGAAGTCGAAGTGGCTGTGAGTGGTTCAAATGAGTTTCTGGATCCCTTTGCTGGTCCAACGGCTGCTGGTGGGCATCCACAAACACCGCATGCCGCATATACACACCATGAGAGTGAGTTACCCGTTGTGGTAAGCGACATCTGGATCGGTGTTATTTTAACGCTGCTCATAGTGTCGGTGATATTCTTCATTTGTTCCTGCTTTTTATATCACAAATTCCAACAATGGAAGAACTCATGTAAGTAGATATTGAGCTCATATTTGGAGGTTCTTTGATTTACTCAAAATAATATTTTTAAAACACTGAAATATCGGGTAAAATCATTTTGCTGATGAATTAATTAATTCTTAGACATTCATTTATTTATCGCCTATCATATGTTTGATTTATTTTTTTTATTACAAATAAGTAATCTGCCAACTTCCATTCCGAACAAATTAAGTTGACAAACCGAAGCATTCAATTCGCAATTCAGCTGTCAGCTGTCAGCTGTCATAGCAAAAATCAAACCAAATAAATTTGCCTAACCTAATACTCGAAGCTTCAAAACAATTGCTTCTGTCATAGAAACTTATGAACCAGATAGAGGAAATCCTTCACGTAACACATGGAAGAAATCCTAAATTCTAATCTGAATAGTTCTCAATTCAAATCTATAGAACATAACCTTAACTGTCACTTGTACCAGAAAAATTATTCTATTATAGTCTTGCTTACCACAAATGGAATATAAATAATTGTATGTACACATCACATTGTCTATTGCATATGAAATAATTGCACTCAATTAAAAACACACGTAGACTGTATAAAAAAATATTTATTTCATTTTTACGTAACATCTTATAAAGACATACATAAATATTTATGAAGTTATACTTATTTATAATTAAATTCCATTTTTATAAATGGCATTAATATGCAAACCAAGTCTAGATATTGTCATGTTAATAACCATATTACGGTCTTTCTCCTAATAAGGCATACCCATGCAGTAAAGCTTAGAGAAATATTGTAATAATGAGGAAAAACGAATGTAAAAAATAGAATAAGGGAATTACACAAAAAATTGAACAAATGAAAACTAATACAATTAAATTACATAAATTAGTTTAAATTAAACTAAATTAAAATCCCATAAATAAAATAAAATTATATAATATATAAATTACAAGTAAAAAAAAAATTAAGTCAATTAAAACAAAATCAAATAAAATAAAAAATTAAGACCTAAAATGAAATAAAATAAAATAAAATGAAATAAAATAAAATAAAATAAAATAAAATAAAATAAAATAAAATAATATAAAATAAAAAATTGAAATATATCAAAATGAAATAAGAAAATTATGTAAAATAAAAATGAACGTAATATAAAAAAAGAAAACAAAATAAATTGAATAAAAAAATAAAATAAAATAAAAAAATGTATCAAAATAAAAGAGAAAATATAATACAAAATAAAATTAAACAAACTTGAAAAAATAAAAAATAAAAATAAATAAAGTATAACACAATAAAATATAATTAAAGAATAAAATAAAATAAAATTTAAAAAAATAAAATAACACAAAATTGCAAAAAAAAATTAAATAAATTAAAAAAAATTAATAAAATGAAATAAAACGGAATAAAATAAAAAACACAAAAAAAAAGAAACTAAAATAAAATAAAATTAAAAAAATTAAATTAAATTGATAAGAAATGAAATAAAATAATTTACTAAAAAAATAAAATCAAAAAATTTTATTTGATTTAAATAAAATCAAATGAAATAAAATAAATAAAAACAAGATATAAATTGAAATAAGACCAAAGAAGCCAAAATGAAACGTATCAAAATAAAATAAAAAATTATGTAGAAAAAAAACATAACATAATAAAAGGAAACCAAATAAAGGGAAATAAAAAAATAAAAAAAATATATAAAATAAAATACTAATAATAAAACACAATACAAAATTAAACAAATTAAAAAAAAAAATAATAAAAATAAAAAAGTTTAATAAAAAATAACATAATGAAATAAAATTAAAAAATAAAATATCAAATAAAATGAATTAAACAAAATAAAATTGAAAAAATAAATAAAATAATACAAAATTAGAAAAATATTATATTAAATGAATTTAAAAAAAAATAGTTAAAAAAAAACAACAATAAAGTAGAAAAAATAATAATTAAATGAAAACAGAAATAAAATTATTTTTTAAAAATTGAAATAAATTGATTAAAAAACTATTATAAAATTAAATAAAATAATTTAGAAAAAATAAATAAATCAAAAAAAATTTAATTAATTGAAATAAAATAAGATGAAATAAAATAAAATAATAAAATAAATAAAACTAATTTAATGTGGTGTAGTCAAGCTTTTGGGTATGCTGTTACACTCGCGGGCTAATACTTAATTCCTACTATCGCGTCTGCGTTGCGCCATCTGAAAACGTCAGCAACTCTTGGGCAATATGCGGTGGCCAAACTCTGTGGTGTCTTGAGTCATGGTTAAGAGAGCTTTAGTGGAGCCGCTCCGACTTATTTGGTTTAAGTGTGCGCTGAAGTCAAAGTGCAGCATCTGTTCATATGAGGTGCGGCTGCGAGCGGGCATCGGTCTTGAAGTAGGTGGCGTGATATATAAATTTGTAAAAAATTCAATCCTATTCGACTATGAAAAAATTCAAGCGCCTCTGATAAGATACCTGCTTATGAGGACGAGTGCTGCAAACGTATTAAGTACTATGATATAAAGGCATTCATCTGGAAAGTCTGATCCCTTAATTGACATCACTGCCGTCTAAGGAATGTGAGGGGAGGGACATGGACGGAGACGAGTAGGACCTTGGAAGAAAGACGTCTCGCCACAACCTGCATCAAAGCGACTTTTTTGACATATTGCTTCTTTTCGCCAATGCGACGATAGAAGAGAAGGACGATGTGATCAAGAATGCCTTTGATCAGTCTCGAAGTGAAAAGATTTAAAACAATATATTCTAAACTTAACAATATTGATAATAAATGCTTTCGATTAGAAACAAAAACAAATACCCCTATTGGGCACTTTAATGCCGGGATGGGCAAAGAAATCAAAAGAAAATGTATGATGTATGCATGTTTTGTTCTTAACGTGGGTTCGCTCCGAGGACTCAGCATCGAGTCGGATCATTATCCACCACTATCTTAGATACGCTGCAATCACAACGTTCAGTGGAACGATTTTCTACTCAACTTGCGATGCTGCTGTCTAAGAGCACTCATACAGCTGCAAACGAAACTATCTGCTATAAGCTCCTGGTGTACGCCGATGATATTGAATTGTTTGGGAAGCGAAGTGAATGGGAGAATAGACGAAATATCTCACGTCATCAAACAAACAGTCATCGTATTCGCGACTCGGCTTCCGCGTTACTGTTGACAGTCATGACTACTTGAAATCTAACGGACTCTTCAATCTTGCCAACAGGCGAATGCTTCTTTGAACTGAGTAGGCAATTAAAAGGGAAAGTCCTCTCTCTATGAATAAAAAGCAAATTGTTCCAGTCCCTCCCTGGCATGGACGATGGTAACATCTCTTGAGTCAGCGTAAAGAGTTTTTGAGGGAAAGGTTTTGTATAAGATTTATGATCCTCTACGAGTTTGGAACGGCGAATAACGCCGGTGGTAGTACGATGAGCTATATGAGAATACGGTAACTATGATATAGCTCAGCGACTAGATAGAAAAAGATTACGATGAATGAAGCTCTGAAAATACCCGCCGGTGGATAGGAAAGACTTCCATTCGTTTGATAGGATCAGGTGGGGAAGCACTTGGCTGCGTTTGGTATCTCCAATCGGCGATAAAGGAAAAACGAGTTTATAATGCCGCCAACGGTGTCTACGTGAATAAGGAAGAAGAATACGATGAGTTGGAAACTTCTACAAAATCATCGAATTGGTTGTTCAGCGCCTGCCATATTTAGAACGAAGAAAAGAAAGTATGAAATTGGTGCGAAGAAGAATCTGTCGTCTAGGCATCAGCAGGGCACGTGGGTATCTATACCAACACTTGTTTTCCACTGGACGGCTTTACGCCTCATCCGCCTTCCTCACCTCTTGATGAATACATCAAAATATGTAAATGACAACTACTAATAAATCTAGTTGTCACGTTGTTGTTTATTGTTTATTGTTTATTGTTCATTAGACTCGTTATTGGTGACCCTTCGTAATTGCCATTTTAATGACTCGCTAAATTAAGAGACGTCGAACAGCTCGTGATTGTCATGATATTACATTCAAATTACGAGATCTCATCACTATATCTACTACTAAATACGTATTTTATATTGTTTACAAATGCAGTTGTTGTTGCCGTTGTTGTTGTTTGTTAAACACGTATAGCTACAAATGTTGGTTTCTGTAGTGGTGTACCAGCTATTATCTTACATCGTAAAAGGTGTAAATTAAAATTGGAGCAACGATTCGCGAGCAATTTAATAAATGCGATATGAACTCGATAAGGTACTGAATGAGTAAGTGATTATGTGCGTATGTACTTAATGTATCTATGTAAGCGAGTATATTGTATGCATGACAATTCTTACAGACTGTAGATAATTAATTTTACTAGCAATGAGATGAATGTAAACAGACAAACCGCCAACAACTAGAATCTCAGTCTCGCACTTTTACAACGTTCGATATACCAAGTAGGTGCTTATGTACATACATATGTATATGCTTAAATACGCACGTACACACCAAGGCTGACTGACTGGCTGGCTGGCAGTGGCGTTGACAATGTGCTGGATTTGTTTTGATTCAGATGCCAAAAGACACTTCAAAATTCCAACAAGCGCAAGTACATGAGTAGAAGGAATGAGTGAGCAGAGAGTTCATTTGAGCGCGCATAAACACAACGACAACATTTAAAAGTCATAATACATACATACAAACATATATAGATAATATGTCTTTTTATCAGAGCAATCACTTTTGCGTCAATATTGCAATAAAAATATTAAACATATTAACTGAGCCGAGCAGAAGTGTCCGATCCGCCAACCGTTGTCCATATCACTTGTCACTTGTCGACTTGTCGAACTGTCGAATTGTCCCACATGTGCGCCATTATCAAATGTGTGAATTAAGTTTGACAGCAGAGCAACAACAAAAAGAATGCAAACTGACGAATTCTTCTTGAACTGCCTATACTCGTACACACATATACTCATACATACATATACTCGAAGTTATCTA